ACAAGACCGCATATATTCCTCAGCAAAACCATCAGTAGAGTGATATCGAAATTCCTTGATGAAACTGAAGACTTGATGGGAGGATAAAGTTTACCCCACTGTTGAGGATTTAATACTTTCTTTTTCAGTGATAGGAGCACTTTGTGAACTGAAGGACTTGACAAAACTGTGTCCAGGTTACCTGTTGGACGCTTCTTTTCAAATGTTTCTCTCAGAACATCTGATCCAACATCCACCAGAAGCCTGCACAGCCGGGCATAATTGGTTGTCTCTCTTGTCGAATGAAACGAAGGTGCTGCAGCGGCGGCCATGAAGAAATACTGGGTCTTTAATAAATTAATTGAACAGAAGTGAAAATAGTCAACATTTAATGTTGGCGTAACATGTATCCAGTTACTTAATTACAAACTGTTATAAGATCTGGACACGAAGTGAATTTGGCATATGATTTTCACCAGGCGAGGTAACTTTAAAATGTTGTGTGCTTGATAATTTGGCATTTTACTTATTTATTCTATGAAATACCATCCAAAACATAAATTTGTTTATTAAAAAATCAGCTTGGATTCAACTCCGCTTCAGACTATTTGTCAGGAAGAATATTGTTACTTCTTTTAGAAAGGCCTTTCACAGACATTTTCTAACGAGTTACGATGAAGTAGAACATTTTAGTCCGAATGCGATAGTAAATTAAATCTCGTCTGCCCTCGTTTCAATCGCGAAACCGAGGCGACCCAAGCGGCATATTTTATTTTAACCCGACCAAAGCAGCATTGTTTATTTTATATAGTTTTTAGCTTGCATTCTTATTGACCTGTTTTATAATCCTCGAATTTATTTTACACACATTTTAACTCTAATTATGGTACTTTTAGGATCGAGGGCCACACGTTCATCAGTTGAGTTACTGTTATGTGTTACCCTCATTAAATAAATATAGAATAATACACGGGCGCGCGTAGATATGGAATTTCCCTTCGAGTGTTTAATCGTTAACTTCAAAGTTACCTCACTGATTTTTCTTACACGCTGTGAATACTGAATTGGTTAACATTCCTGCGTGATCTAGGGCTGAGTATATTTTTCGGTGTATAATGAAATCGTGCTTGTGAATCTGTCGCGTAACAGGTCTAACAGAAATTCGAATTCGATTTTACTTGACGCAATTTTGTTCGATTTATTTCGACAAACTCGCTAAATTTCGAGTGTTCGACTATATGTGCGGTATTCTCCACCCACTCAATGGAAATTACGCACGCCACGCTCGATTTCAATGATTGATTTAGTTAAACTGATGATGCTCGCTTGCACAGAATAGATCTACTTACAGACACGGAAATGTGCTTAATATATGATGTCACTAACATAGCCAAGATGCTCGAAACTGGAACTCAAACTCTTACTTCAAAAGGTTCACTCCGTCAGAAGTCAACTTGCTTTGTGGTTATGGAAGAAAAACGTATTTACCGTGTTATTTGGTCGCTGTTGTATGACCTTGTATTAATCGTTCTAGCTTCAGTTTGTTATGGACAGCTCGTTGTTTGCTCGACCTAGTGATCGACCTGGTGCTTGAATGTCATGATTAAATAAGAAGAGTCTGTTATCTGTTCTCGCTTTTGTTAAGTTTCTCGTTCGCAAGATGTATGTATCTAGCTCTCAGTCAGACATCGATGTCTCAGCAATTATCGGAAGTAAAGGTTTGTCCATTCGTGGCCTAAAATGAATGCACATCCACAAGCGGATTTCATCGCCAAATGATGGAGACAAAATTTCAAGGAGCGGCATTCAGGAAGCTCCACTTTCGATTTCATGTAAAACAATAACCGTTTGACCTTCGCTTATCACTATAATTACCGCTAGGTCTTAAGACTTGTATATTGTAGAATATTTTATTACTGATAATACTTTTCAATATCATTTAAATGCATGTGATCACAGGTTACTAGTTTAGATTGCCCTAGATTATTAAGTATCTCTGGAACACTGATTTCTCATTTTATAACTCTCTCTGTCCCAATTGCTTTCAAATCTTCTTTTACATGACATAAAAATATCGTGACAAATATATCCATGAAGAAGTGTATCATGTAACATATAAAATTTAACAGGGCTCTCTCCCTGAGCTCCTAATAAAACTTCTCACTTCCAGCAGCTATACTTTTCCAAGCATGTTAGTCAACTGAATTAAAGGCAGGATTTCCTTAGGGTGTTTAGACCTACTTAGTTTACTTTTCCAGAGACGTAATTATCGACATTGGTAGCATTTTTGCTCAAAGTCCAATCAATGTTATTAATAACATCGATCATCTAAATGTAGCATACTGGTTCGATGTTAATCCCGAGTTCTATGTTCTCACTACAATTATTTTTGTCCCTTGGAGGGAAAAATTACTCACATGTAACTTATTTCACAATACGTTTATATTCTGTATGATGGGTAGACTTGTGTGAGCGAATTGGCAGCAGATAAACAAATTAAGCACGATACAGCATGGACAGAGAATACAAAATTGTACGAAGCGCTGTAGCGATTGATCAAGTTCAAGAAGCTAAGAGTGAGACTGTCGTTAACTTGACATCGAGTGAATGAAAAGCTTCAAAGTTACCTCAATGATTATTCTTACACGCTGTGAATACTGAATTGGTTGACATTCCTGCGTGATCCAGGACTGAGTATAATTTTTCGGTGTATAATAAAATCGTGCTTGTGAATCTGTCGCGTAACAGGTCTAACAGGAGTTCGAATTCGATTTTACTTAGCGCAATTTTGTTCGATTGATTTCGAAAAACTCGCTAAAATTCAGTCGAGTGTTCGACTATAAGCATGGTATTCTCCACTCACCCTTAATGGAAATTACGCACGCCACGCTCGATTTCAGTGATTGATTTAGTTAAACTGATGATGCCCACTTGTACGGAATAGATTCGCTCACAGATACGAAGATGTATTGAAAACAAGATGTCACTAACATAGCCAGGATGGTAAAAATTAAACTTAACTCAACATGGAATAAAATCCAAAAAGTGTTACCTCAAAAGGTTGACTCGGACGTACACTTGCTTTGTGATCTTGGAAGAAAAACGTATTTATCGTGTTATTTGGCCACTGCAAGATGTATATATTAGTAGCGCTTAGTCAGACATCGATGTCTCAGCAATCATCGGAGGTAAAGTTTTGCGCATTTGTGGCCTAAATGAATGCACAACTGCAAGTGGATTTCATCGCCAAATGACGAAGACAGAATTTCAAGGAGTGGCATTCAGGAAGCTCAACTTTCGATTTCAAAACACCAACCTTTTGACCTTCGCTATCACAATAATTACCGTCACGTCTGACGGCTGTATATTGCAGACTATTTTATTACTGATACTACTTTTCAATATCACTTGAATATTTCTAATCAATTTGCCTTGTTATTTTGTGTGCAGTTTTCCCTATGATGGTTTTCTGATAGCGTGATTTGTCTAATAGCGTGACACAGCAAGGCAAGAGTTACAGTAACCATGGATACCTTCCACGTAAAATGACCATATGCTGCAGTTTTCAGGAGAGTCAAGGAAAGCGCGAGGCGAACGCTCGCGAGAAGCGACATTCGCTTAAGGAGAGTAGTTGGTAAAACCATACCGCTCCTTTCCTCGCACTCGCATTACGTTTGCTAACACTCGCCTGAAAAGGTGGCCTCACTTAAAGATCATTTACTTTAAATGAAAGGAACTATGGATGTCAAAAAATGAAGAAAAATGGAATTGTTCCGCGGAATGCAGGCACGCAATAAATGTTTTCAAAAGACCTCATACAGTGAAAGCTACACTGGTACTATTCATCAAGA